TTTCCAGAAGTGGAACATTTCAGCAAGTGTTTTATACATCAATAGATGGCAGAAGTAAGAAGCAAGGGTCCTTAGAGATTATCAAGTCCAACCTGATGATTTTCCAAATGGGGAAGCTGAGGCTCGGAGAGAGAAAGGACTTACCCAATTCAAGAACCCAGGTCTCCTCACTCCTAATCCATTCTAACACCCTGCCTTCTTCTCCATTCAATGAGAAGTTATTGAGTCCCCAGACATGACCTGGGCTTGCCTGTGGGAGACATGCTTTCTGGGGACCAAGATGGGGAGTTAAGCTTGAATAGGTGACAAAGATGTTACTCAGGTAGGACTTGGTAGCTAATGGCTCTGCCCAGGGAAGAAGAGGGAGCAGTCATAAATGACTAGGAGGTTTCCTGCCCATGTGACAGGGACATCCTCTGCCTGATGGGCAGAATTCAAGAAGTCAGGAAGAGGAACTTCCCTGGGTGAGGGAAGGTCACTGCATCAACATCTTAGTAAGGAGATTTGAGGTGATCTGACCAGCCCCCTCTGGGTGCCCAGTGAGGAGTGGTTTGGAGTTCATGGAGGTCAGAGTTAGAGTAGGTGGGCCCAGAGTACAGCAAAGACCCCGGATTGAATATGGGGCAGTTTGGGCATCTTGAAAGGGTACAGATGAAGCCAGGAGAGCAGATGTGTCTCTGAGGAAGGTACTTCAAGGAATGAGCACATTTAAGGCAACAGGGGAATGGAGAAGGTGTTTCAGGGGGAGCCTGTGGTAGTCATTGGTGTGAAAGGCTGAGCGCCCAGATGGACCTTTAATCTGGGCAACAAGCTGACCCCCAGGTCTACTAGCACACCTCCAGCCTAAGCACTGAGGCTGGCATTCCACAAGCATTCAGCAAATATTGATTGAGTGCCTGCTGTGGGCCAGACCTTTTTGTACCTGTTTGAGATATAGCAGTGAACCAAAGATCCCTATCCTCAGGGAGCTCATATCCTGGTGGGGAGAGACAATCACCAAAATAAATAAGTAAATTATTTTAGAACATAGTAAGTATTAAGGAAAAAAGAGCCAGAGAGGGGCCAGCCTGGTGGCAGAGTGGTTAGGTTCGTGTGCTCCGCTTCGGTGGCTCGGGGTTCAGCGGTTTGAATCCCGGGTGTGGACGTATGCACCGCTTATCAAGCCATGCTGTGGCAGGCGTCCCACATAAAAATAGGGAAGATGGGCACAGATGTTAGCTCAGAGCTAATCTTCCTTAAAAAAAAAAAAAAAAGCAGGAGAAGAGGGATTGAGAGTGCTTAGAGAAGGCAGGTTGCAATTTCAATAAGGTGAAGAAAACTTCATTCAGAAGACAACAGTGGAACAGAGACTCAAAGGCCTCTGTAGGGCATGAGCATTCTAGGCTGAAGGAGCAGTGAGTTCAAAGGCCTGAGGTGGGGGTGTGCTTTGTTCAGGGAGGAGTAAGGAGCTGGCTGTGGTTGGAGGGAAGGAGGGAACAGTGGGAGGAGGTAAGGTCAGAGGGGAAGTGTGAGGAGGAGCAGTTCACACAGGGCTTTTTAGGTCCCGGTAAGGGCTTTGGGTTTTAGCCTGAGAGAAATGAGGGAGCCTTTCAAGGTTATCATAAGGTGGTTAAGGCGGCAGGCACCTATGACAGCTCATGCGATTTGCTCAATGTAGCTATGAGGATGCTGAGGCCCAGACCAGGCGGGGATCCTCCCAGGGGTGCCCAGCCTATATTCTCCATCCTTAGCATGGGGTCCTGTCCCAGCAATTCGTGGAGCTCATCAACAAGTGCAACTCGATGCAGTCTGAATACCGGGAGAAGAATGTGGAACGGATTCGGAGGCAGCTGAAGATCAGTGAGTTGTGGCGCCCCGCCCACAGGGTCAGGTGACCTGACCCAGCTCTGAGCCTGGCCTTTTCCTTCACAGCAAATGCTGGAATGGTGTCTGATGAGGAGCTGGAGCAGATGCTGGACAGTGGGCAGAGTGAGGTGTTTGTGTCCAATGTGAGTGGCCACAGCCAACCTCCCTCCTGGCCTCCCATCCTTCTGAGCCCTGGCCCTTTTTGATTGAGGGAATACTGAGGCCCAGAAGGGAACAAGTTAGCATGCCTGGAGTTACTTTTCAGGGCGCTGGCCCCAGTTCTAGGCCTGAGGACTGCCCCAGAGCTCAACAGGAACTTCTGACCTGCTACTGGTTTCCCTAAGACCTGTCCCTCCACTCCTCAGATACTGAAGGATACACAAGTGACTCGACAGGCACTAAATGAGATCTCAGCCCGGCACAGTGAGATCCAGCAGCTTGAACGCAGTATCCGTGAACTTCATGAGATCTTCACTTTTCTCGCTACTGAGGTGGAGATGCAGGTGGGTGCCCCAGACAGCTGGCTGGCCTTGACCCAGACCCCAGATGGGAGACCATGTTCAGTCAGAACCCCAGCTGTGAGTGTCAGCCCACCTCCACCCTTAGCCTCTCTCACAAGGCTTTTCTTCCCTCCATGCTGGGCTATGCCTGCATGCTGGTCCTTACTTCCATTCTTAGCCATGCCCCAGAATTGTGTCTCTCTCCACAGCTACCCAAATGACCACTCCTCTCTATGTTGCATCCCCCCTCCAAATTGAGCCCACCCAGGTATGGCCCCAGCCCAGGCTCTGCCTCCACCCATAGAACCCACGTTTATGCCTCTAAGTACTCCGGTCAGAGTTGGCTCCAGAGGGCCTGTCTTCTAAAATCTGTGCAAGGTTGGAGTGGGAGGTGGTGTTCTTCCTCTGGCCCTGGGTGTATGGGGTGAGGGGAGCTTCCAGCCCCATCCTGGAGGAGCTGCCCCCACTAGTGCTGCAGCCAGTGCCCTGTTGCAGCTGGGAGTCATGGGGAAGGGATTTCATTCAGTAGGAGTACCAGGACCTGAAGGCTGGCAGGGCCATGAGGAGACAGGGATAGGAAGGGCTTCACAGCAGCTGGGGGACAGGCCTAGAAGGACAGGTGAATCCAGGCAGATTTGTGAAGAGGTATGGGCCATTTAAGGTACTTGGCTCCAAGCCACCGCTGCAAATAGAGGTTGTGTGAGGTAAGGGAGCAGGGCAGAAGGGACCCCATGATAGAAGGGGTCCTGGAAGCTGCCGTCAGGAGTGTGAACTTTTGTCAGATGTGGTCCTGCCTCTGTGTCTATGTCAGTGCAGCGTTTTCTGCCGGGAGTGTCCTTCAGTCATTCGGGGCTGGGGTGGGCAGACAGAGGAGCTGCTGAGCCCTCCACCCCTAGTCATCCCTATCAGCCTCAACTGGGGTGCTTCCTCCGAGCAGGGGGAGATGATCAATCGGATTGAGAAGAACATCCTGAGCTCAGCAGACTATGTGGAACGTGGGCAGGAACATGTCAAGATGACCCTGGAGAGCCAGAAGAAGGCACGGAAGGTGAGCCTTTCCTCCTCCCCTCCCCAGCCCGGGGTGGCTCTCCCTCCCCTCCTAAGTGAGTTTCCCTGACCCCCTCCTTTCCCACAGAAGAAATTCTTGATTGCCATCTGTGTGTCCATCACTGTCCTTATTCTGTTGGTCATCATTGTCATCTCCACATTGGTTTGATAGCGTCGCGCATTCTTGGTGAGATATTATGGGCCTGCCCCCTGGCCTGCCCCATCCCTGGTCCCAGCCTTTCCTCCTCTCCTCAGACCTTCTTCTCCCTCCTTCCCTTGCAGGCACTAAGAGCACCAGGGACCCAGGGTCTGCCTTCTTTCCCAGCAGCTGGGGGGGTGCAGGACAGAGCCTCCAGCCGGAGCCCCTTCCTCACACTGGCCCTGTGCAGAGGGGCAGTTCTTCTGGGGTTGGCAGCTACTCTTTCATGGGGGCCTGCCTCCTCAGGCCACAGTGCCTGAGGGAGGGCCTGCAGTGTCCTGTTTGGTTGGGACACATGGTTTTTTAAGAAATTAAACAAAAGCTTGGAGACTCCCCTGTGCTTGTGTGTTCCTGGAATGGCTGGCCCAGGGCCTCCAGGTATCCAGCTTCTCCACCTCCTGGCCATCCTTGGTGCCAGGCCCAGCCCAGGAATGCTCAGATCAGAGGCACTGTGACCACAGCAAGCTGGCACTGCCCTTCTACTCTCCTATAGGAATGAGTAGGGATGGGAGGGGGTAACACCCACATATGGCTCAGTACTGTACCTGGGGAAAGACCACTGTGAGTACCTAACCTGGAAGCAGTGAGGCGGGGCCACACCAGCCTGGGACACAAGTGAGATTGTGTGTAGCATCAGTGGGCATTTCTGAGGCCAAAAGGAAGAGGCACCAAAAAAGTAATTGAGTAACTGAGGCTGTCACTTTGCGTACAGTGGATAGGGAACGGCCTGTCTCAGAGGTGGTGATATTTGAGTGGAATGTTAAATGAGGAGGAGCCAGTTATGGGAAAAAGCAGGGAAAGAGGTTGCCAGGCAGAGGGACCAGCAGGCCAGGCCCTGGGCCCAGAAAAAGGCATTGCCTTTTTTTTTTTAAGGATTTTTTTCTTTAATTTTTCCTTTTTCTCGCCAGAGCCCCCCAGTACATAGTTGTATAGTTTTAGTTGTGGATTCTTCTAGTTGTGGCATGTGGGACACCGCCTCAGCATGGCTCGATGAGTGGTGCCATGTCCGCGCCCAGGATCCCAACCGCAGAACCCTGGGCCGCTGCCGGGGAGTTCGGGAACTTAACCACTCGGCCACGGGGCCGGGCCCAGGCATTGCCTTTTTTATGTAAGAGTTCAGCTTAGAGAGCCAGCAACTCTGGATCAGCACACTTGGTTTCTAAGGGGTTATCTAGCTGAAGAGGGTAGCTACAGGAGGCAGAGGAGCCTGACCCCTGTTTTCTATGAGGCACCTGAGCTCCAGGCCCCAACTCGAAATTTCTGAGTTCTAAGTCCTATGCCTAGTTCCTTTTTTTTTTCTTTTTTTTTGAGGAAGATTAGCCCTGAGCTAACTACTGCCAATCTTCCTCTTTTTGCTGAGGAAGACTGGCCCTGAGCTAACATCCATGCCTATCTTCCTCTACTTTATACATGGGATGCCTACCACAGCATGGCTTTTGCCAAGTGGTGCCATGTACGCACCTGGCGAATCCCGGGCCGCCGAGAAGCAGAATGTGCGAACTTAACTGCTGTGCCACCGGGCTCGCCCCCCTATGCCTAGTTTCTGGAGCTGGATGTGGCACCTGTCCCCAGACGCCTGGTTTCAGGGGTAAGCCGGCTCCTGGCTCCAAAGCTTGGCTGGAGTAGGGCTGCCTGACCCGGACCAGGTCTGTGGCCGGGTTCCAGCTGCCCTGCCCCATCCCATCCCACTTTCGATTCCACAGGCTCCTGCTGCTGGTGTCGCTGCTGCTCCTAGCTCTCTAGCCCGGCTGGCTGCAGTACCGCCTGCTTTTGCTGCTGAGTGTGGGGCATACACGTGGGTGCTGGTGTGATGGAGTTGTGGAAGGGCTGGACATGATGTCATTGGTGTAGTCCTGGACCCCACCCCTAGACCTGGGCTCGGGGAGGGGCCAGAGGGTGGAATTGGGCCCCAGTGACTCGACACCTGGGCCTACTCTGCCTCCCATCCATAGCTGGGCGTCTGCTTGCAGCGCCTCACTGTGGCCCTAGAGCGGCAGTTGTACCGGCGCCTGCGCCAAGTCCGAGTGTATGGTTGGCCCCGAGTATGGGGCGTGACTGAGATGGTGGCCCATGGCGCCTGGAAAACGATTGGCCAGCGGACCTAAAGATTGATCCTGAAGAACATCGGGATTGGTCTGTAGGGCGTCCTGGGGGAGTGAATATTCTAGTATTAAACAGCAGTTAAAACATGGGACGCTGGTATGGGCGGCGCCTCAGAGCCAGTTGCCAGTAGTACCCAAAAGTGATCATCACAGAGCGCACAGGACATGATCAAACCTTCAAAAGAGGCGGGAGGCTGTGGGCTTGTGAGAGACTGGCGGGAGTAGTGAGTCAGGGACTTTACCCGAGAAAGCGTGGCTCCTGGCTGCTAAGCTTCCAGTTGCGCAAGTCTGGGAGGGTACCCACGCCTTCGTCCTTCCTGAGATCACGTGTCCTGTGTACAGATGAAGCCCTAAACGCCTACAGGAAAGAGCTACTCATTCTCAGCAGTGTGCAAACACAATCCGGATGTCCACTTGATGGGAAAACTGCGGGGCTGGACAGATCCTGCCCCAGTATAAGGCTGATTTGGATGCAGGGGCCTCTGGGTTTCTCTGATTCTCCGCCTCTTCCCCGATGGCCTGCATCTTCAGAGGAATCCTGTCCTGTTGGTCGCCTTTGTCCACTCTCTCACCTTTCTGCCTTCAGAGTAAATAACTGCATGACCTGTGGCACCTACTGGGATCTGATAGAGACCACATCTATGCAACTGGGTGTCCATGTGCTGTGTGTGACTTCTGCTTGGCCATACTGGACAGTGCCACTTCTGAATGGCTGCTTACCTGTCTCACTCAGGAAGCTGTCCATAACCTCCTGGAAGAGGTGGCTAGATGGCCAAGTAAGGCCTTGAATTCTGAGCTCAGTAGTTTGAACCTTTCCTGTGGGCTAGGGGACCCATGGAAGGTTTTTGAACAAGTGAGTGGCAAGTTTGGAGCAGACGGAACAGAAAAGTGGACCCATGCACTGGGGATTTCACAGGCTCTCTTGTGTATACCCCTTCCACGTGGGAAACAAGAGTAAATGAGGAGAGAGTGAGGAGCTAAGAGCAGGTTTTGCACTGAAATCCTGGCTTGGCTGCTGTCAGCCCAACTTTCAGTGAACCGGGTCTTGGTTAGTTGTGGTTTTTCCAAATCCATCTTGCCTCACAACCTTTTAGCTGCAGCTCTCTCTCCACTTATTGCCTCATTCACTCAACATTTCACAGTTCAAATTCCCAAGAAAAGGAATCAGATTGGTCTAGATCAGGCTACATTGACCTGCCTATGAGTTGTCTAGCTTGAATCAAGACTTTACCCTTGACCAAGATGTATGCGCACTGTAACAGAGTGTGTCTGAAGGAAGAGTGGACAAGCACAATGATTGACATTTCTGGCAAACCCTGTGGTAGATTGTATTATTGTTCCAAATATATAGTCCTTCCTACAGGGCCCCTCCCTAAAGGAAGATTATAATAGGCTTGGCTATATGACTTGTTTTGGCCAATGGAATGTGAGTAGAAATGTAACATACCACTTCCAAACAGAAGTTTTAAGCACCACTCGTAGTCTGGCAGCTTCCCCTCTCTTTTCCCTCTGCCATGAGCCTGGCAATTTCTAGATCAAGACTTCTTCAGTCTGGAACCCAGAATTAAGATGACATGAAGCTGAGCTGTAGTCCACCTGTAAAATGATGTGTGATGTCAGTGAGAAATAAACTTCTCTTGCTGTGAACAGCTGATGTGTGGAGTTTGGTTGGTACCATATCATAATAAGTCTAAACCAACAGTTAAAGAACTCATACCCTGAAGTGGGTTGCTGCTACAATAAAAAATAAACCTGAATTACGTGGCTTTGGAGCTGGGCAGTGGCTGGTGAGGAAGCTGTCATTGGAAGTTGGAAAGATGGTGATGTGTGTTATGCAGTGGTGAAGCATTTGGTTAAACTCTAAGCTGGAAATAACTAAGAATATAAGTAATGTCCAAATGAGCTTGGGGCTTTAGGCAAGAAAATTGGGAAAGGGAGTATTAGTGGCATGCCTTGGTGGCTACTGGGTACATTTGACAAGTTACTATAAGAAAGAGATGACTCAGAAACTAATTGGCCAGTCTTTAAAGAGAAATGGAAGAGAATATAGAAGCTCCAGGCAAGTGATCCACATTTTTAACCAGTGAAAGATACAACTGCTCCCAAAGGAGTTAGTAGGCTCCATTTGCCTACAGTTAAGTCTAAAGAGAGAGGCGTATCTGAAAAGAATGTGGGTTTGGCTGTTGGCCCATGGAACTGACTGGAATCAAATAGAAAAGAAGACCCCCCCCCCCCAACAAAAGCCATTACCTTGCACTTTTAAAAGACCATGAGTGTTCAAGACTTAATACAACCTTGAGGGCTCCCAAATTTCTATGGGCATGAAGGAGGCTGAGAAAGCTGCTCTACCTCAGAAAGGCATAACCTCCAATGTCTTTTAAAATGTGGCCCAGGAGAATAAATGGAAAAGGACAGACCACACTAAGGGCAGAGCCGAGGACATGGAGAAGAATGAAGCAGGGAACTAGTCCCAGGAAGCAGTCCGCTCCCAGGGAAAGGTGGGGGACCGTCTCAGTATCTGCCCAGCAGGACTGTAGAATTATTATGGGCCAGAACTGCTGTGTGTCTCCCATTCTTCCTTCTAAATGGGAGTGTTTACTGCCATTATCCTGTCCCTGTTCCACTTCATATGCTGGATTTTTTTGGGGGGGAGGGGGTAAGAGATAACATGTTATATTTATTTATTTTTTTGTCTCATAAGTCTCTGGATCAAGAGAAGCCACATCTGCACCTGATATAGAGACTAATAGAGATCCTGGACTTGAGCCTGACGTCATGATTAGATGGGTCATTTGGGTGGTCTCCCTTGAGAAGGGGAAGCATTTATTTTGCATATGGAAGAAACACAAAGGCAGTAATATGACAAAGCAGACAGACTGGGCAAGATTTTACAATTGTTCAAAGACATTGGTCCTCCCTGTGGGGTCCCACCATATGAAAAGATTATAAATCCCCACTTCACTGACATCAGCTTTGGGCATGTGGCGTTCTTTAGGCAATGGAAATTGAGTAGGATTAATACGTGTACTTCCAAGAAGAAGCTTTAAGAGCCATCGTGGGATCTGCCAACTTTCCTCTCTTGTCTCTATGTCTTGAGCTTGAAAGTTCCAGATTGAGGCTGTTCCTTCAGGTTGGATTCTGGAATGAAGATGATGTAGAACAGAGCTTCAGCTCTGCCATGGAGGACATGGAATTGCATGAGAAAAATACATTTGTTGTTGTAAGCCACTGAGATTTTGGAGTTTTCATTACTGCGGCATAATTTGATCCTAGCTGACTGATAAAAGCTCCCTCCATATTGCAGAGGCTCTCTATTCAGTTCTCCTTTCCTATCACTGTGAGAGTTGACATGCCAAAATGAGTTGTAATGATGCTACGAGGTCTGAGCCTTTCCTCCCTGTTCAGAGATGTTTACCCTCAGGTCCTGTTCAGTGAGCTTTCTTGATTCTTGCTGGTTCTTGGCAACTAGTGGTAGCTGCTCATGCGAACTAGAAAAATATCTGGGAGGGTGGGGCCCCAGACCTTCTAGCATCAACTTGGTGCCTAGTAAATGTCAATCTCACATACATCCTAAGACTACAATGGTATCATTTCAAAGGAACTGTCCAAAAGGAAAAAAGAGAGAAAGTAAAACCCAAACTTGCCTTAACCGCACGGATGTCCACCCTTCCAAGCAGCCCCAACATAATGGATAATAAGTAGAAATTTTCTGTCAGTTTGTGTATGGGTACAGCTGCATGAAGGAGAGACCCAAACTAACCACGGCTTAAACAAGATAGAAGTTTATTTCTCTCTTATATAAAAGTACAAGTTAGTATGGTGGGTCTTTGCATGAAGTCATCAGGACCCATGAATAATAGAAAAAAAATCATTATTTTATCTTGTTGCTGTTCCATCCCTGGGGTGTTGCCCTCACCCACATAGTCCAAGATGGTCCACCACCACTTCCACAGTCTACCCTCTGTAAAGCAAAAAAGTGAAAGGGATGGCTTGCTGTTTATCCTAAATTTCTGGAAGGTGTACAAATAATTTCTGCTCTAATCCTAGTGGCCAGAATGTAGTCACATGGCCACATCCAGCTGATGCTGAGAAATATAATCTCTACCTTGGGCAGCTTTTTGCCCAGACGAAAGTTCTAGTCGGGGGCCGGCCCTGTGGCCGAGTGGTTAAGTTCGTGCACTCTGCTTTGGCGGCCCAGGGTGTTGCCAGTTCGGATCCTAGGCGTAGACATGGCACCGCTCATCAGGCCATGCTGAGGTGGCGTCCCACATGCCACAACTAGAAGGACCCACAACTAAAATATACAACTATGTACTGGGAGGATTTGGGGAGAAAAAGCAGAAAAAAAAAAAGAAGATTGGCAACAGTTGTTAGCTTAGGTGCCAATCTTTAAAAAAAAAAAAAAAGTTCTAGGGGAACTAAGGAACTATTCCCAGGAAGCAGTCCCACTCTGGAAGAACAAATATTGGGGGACCACTAGCAGTTTCAGCCACACACTATGAGTGTTAACCCATCCCAACTGTATTAGTTTCCTATTACTCCTGTCACAAATTACCACACTTAGTGGCTTAAAACAACACACATTTATTCTTTTACAGTTCCAGAGGTCAGAAATCCAAAATTAGTTTCACTGTACCCAGTCAATGAGTTGGCAGAGCTGGCTCGTTCTGGAGGAACCATTTGCTTGCCTTCTAATGGATGCCTGCATTCCTTCGCTAGTGGCCCCATCTTCCATTTCAGAGCAAATCATTCCAACCTCTACTTCCATTATCATATCACCTTCTCCTCTAACTCTGACTCTCCTGTCTCCCTCTTATAAGGACCCTTGTGATTACCTTGGGTCCACCCAGATACTCCAGGATAATGTCCCATTTCACTATCCTTAATCACATCTGCAAAGTCCTTCCTGCCATATAAGGTAACACTCTCCAGTTTGAGGGATTAGGATGTGGACATATTAGGGAACATATTGTTCAGCCCACTACACCACCCCATTTCACATTCAACTCATTCATTCATTTATTCATAAAGTATTTCTTGAGCAAGACTTATGTGCCAGGCATTATGGCAGGTTCTGGAGAAATAGAGGTGAAAATACAGACAAGGTTTCTGCTTTCATTGAGTCTATATTTTAATGGAGAGGGAGAATAAAGAAATAACTAGGATCTTCTAAAACCATGACAAGTATTATTTAAAAATTAAGCAGTGTAACGTGATAAAAAATGAGGAGGGGTTGGAGACGGCTGTTCTAATAGGTGGTCAGGAATGGATTCTTACTTAGGGAAGATGACTAATCCAAAAGGTGGAACTGAGCGCTCAGAGGGCAGAACAGAGCCATGGAGGCTTATCTCTAGGCCTGGAAACCTAATGAATTTACCCAGCTGGATTTTGAAATTGCTTTGGATCAGTGACTCCTTTTTAGCTTGCATTTCTCCCCTTTTTGAACCAGAATGTCTATTATCCTCTGCATAGTCCCACCATTGCGTGTTGGGAATACATGACTTGTTCCTTTAGTTTCATAGGTCCACAGATGGGAGGAATTGTGCTCCAGGATGGAGTATACCTAGAGCCTCATCTCCATCTGATTTAGATAATGAGATTTGGGACTTCTGATTTGATGAGATATATATGAGATTTTTTTGGACTGTGACTTGATGCTGTAATGGGATGGGACTTTTAGGGACCTTGGGAGGAAGTAAATCTTTGAGGGCTAGAGAGTGAACTGTGGTAAGCAGAAAGTCCCCAAAGATTCCATGCCCATACCTTACAAGGCAAAGGGGACTTTGCAGATATAATTAAGTTTACTAATCAGTTGACCTTAAAACAGGGAGATGATCCTGAATTATTCAGGTGGGCCCAATGTAATCACATGAGCTGTTAAAAGCAGAGAACCTTCTCCAGCTAGCAACAGAAGAGGAAGACAGCAGGAGAAGTCAGAGAAATTTAAAGCAGGAGGATTCACTGTACCACTGCCAGCTTTGAAGATGGAGGGGCCCCCAGCCAAAGAACGTAGATAGCCTCTAGAAGCTGAGAACAATATCTGGCTGACAGCAAAGAAATGGGGATCTTGGTCCTACAGCCAAATGGAACTGAATTCTGTTAATACCCTGAATAAGTCTGGAAGTGGATTCTATGCCCTCCCTCCAGATGAGAGCCCAGGCTGGCCAAGACCTTGATTTCTGGCTTGTGAGACCCTAAGTAGAGGACCCAGCTGAGTCAGCCTGGACTTCTGACCTATAGAACCAGGAGATAAGAAATAGGTGTTGTTTTTAAGATGCTATGTTTGTGGTCATTTATTGTGCAGCAGTAGAAACTTAATACAGTAAGATTTGAGCTGAGACTTAAATGAAGAGAAAGAGCATCACAGGCAAATCTAGGGCAGTGGGTTCCATCCTCAAGAAAGAGCAAGTGCAAAGGCCCCAAGAGTGGGAAGAAACAAACAAGTAAACAGAAGGCCAGCATAGCTGGAGTCTGCTGAATGGAATGAGTAGGTAAGACATGAGGTCAGAACTGGGGTAGGAACTAAAAGGAAGGCGGGCTGCATGGGTGAGAATTTCTGTTGAGAGTTGGGCTGTGTGTAAGTAATTAGAACAAGTCTCCAGATTTCCTCAGTTGAATCCAAAATGACTGACCCACCTGCAAAGTCTGC